AAGAATAATAGTCTAGCCAATTAACGTATTATACAGGTAAGCATATATCATTTTAATTTTACTAAATACTCAACACACACACACACACACACACACACATATATATACTTTCTCTTCTGTTGTGTACGCGACTATGTATAAAAATAAAAGTGTATTTTTCACAGAAATAAAAAAAGAAAACGTTTTTTTTCGTTTGTTAGCAACGGATAACTTAGTAACACAAACCCAACATCCGACATCAACAATTCTCCAAAAAAAAAAAAAAAATTCATCATGTTCATACGTTTTTTTATTTGATTGATTCAATATTAAGAAAAAAGAAGAGAGAGGAAAAAAAATTTTTTTTTTGTTACACCTATTTCTATTGTTGTTATGGTAGATGTGTGTGTGTGTGTGTCATTCATTTCCAAAAAAAATATATATATATTTTTTTTTTTACAGAACACATACACCTGGTTGAAATGATTTGAAATGATGTGACAGATTTTAATTTTTGTACACAAATTAATAGTTTTCTTTTCTTTCGTATATGTGTTAATAAATGAGAATTTTCTAATATTCCTATTTTTAAAATTATTTTTTCTCAGATAAAAGACAAACGTTTTTCTCCTTCCTTTTTTTTTTTTTTGCTTTTTTGAAATTAAAATATATGCAATCAATACATTTTTTTTTTCTTCTTATGATTTTAAAGAGCTTACCACAAAATTTTATGTATAAAAGAAAAGAAAATTTTAAAATTAGACTTCGATTTATAAATACAACGAAATAATTGAGTAGAACAGTGTGTTTCAGTTGTATTTATTATTGAAAAACACTTTTTCAGTTTTCATTCTTCATTTTGTTTGTTCAGTAGTACACACTATACACTTTTTTCAATGACTACTTTGTCATACGATGATTTAGGTTATTTTTCTTAAAAAAAAATAAAAAAACAACAGAAAACAGATCAAGGATGAGAATGTTTTCACATACTATAGACTTGAGATAGTGTTGTTAGATTAAGTGGATTCATTCATCTATATAACATAGACTATCATTTTGTATGATTATTAAAATTTCTTTTCTTAGTTCACAATTTATTGTGATTATACACTACTTTGCTTCACAATTGTATCGATTTTAATTATTTATTTATTTATTTGAAAAAAAAAGATAAATAGTTTTAAAAAAACGTTCAAATTATTGTTGAATAATGAGTGTCTGTCAGTTACATTTTATCCAAACTTTGATTTTTCATTTGCTAATGCTAATCGACGAATATAAGATATACAACCAGCAGCATTTTCTTGCAACGAGTCGTCACTTGATCCAACCATTTCCATCAATAACTAAAAAATAGAAAATCAATATATTTTATCAGATTTAAAATGGGAAAATAAATGATAATTTTTTTATAGAAATATGCTTACTCGTACAACACCGGCTTCATGCATTGTTACACAATTTGCTGGATATTTTGATAATTGATGAAGAGCTTTAGCCGTTGATCGATGTACATTTGGATCAGATGATTTTAAATATCGAACTAATGGTGCAACAGCATTATTTTCACCAAACGCTTTACGATTATTGCCCCATTTACAACATTCAGCAATTGCTTCAGCTAAATGACGCCGAAGTAAATCTTCATTCTGGTCAAGAAAAAAAGATAATTTTTAATATATAGAATATCATTAAAGCGAATAAATTCATTTCATACCTTTGGTGCTAAATTTGATAATAGCTTAACCACACCGTGATCTGTGATAACAGCTAAATTTTCTTCATCTTTTGCTATTTCTCCTAGTGCTGCACAAACACTCGCTAAAACTTCGACATCTTTTGATTTCAATAATGAAACAATTAATTCAAGACCTCCAACAAAACTTCGAACCATTTCACCAGAATCCTGCAAAAAAAAATATATCTTTACTAAGTTAAACGAAACTTGTGTGTAAAAAAACGTACCTTTATATTTTTAACACATGGACAAATAGCCCATGCTGCTGCAGCTTGTACACGTAAATTTTGATTTTTTAAAAGGGACCATAATAGACGTACACCATCAAGTCGATCAATCATTCTAAAATAAAAATAATTTATTTAACTAAAATAAAACCTAATCAACATTGTGTTTCTTACCCAATACTTTCAAATTCTTCTGCGCATTGTCGTAATGCCAAACATGTATTAACTAATAAATGATGATTTGTTCCTGTTAATAAATTGACTAACGGCGATATACCACCAGCTTTTCGTATTGTTGTTCGATTTTCAGGAATTTTAGCACATTCGGCTAATGCGCCAACAACGTTAACCAAAACTTCTTCTGGTTGATTATTTAACAATTGTACCAATGCTTCAATTGTTTTAAATTCTTGAAATTGAGCAATATTTTCTTCGGATATTGAACACTTCCATATTGCACCGGTAGCAGCTGCCAATAACGCTTTATTATCCGATTTTTGTAACAGATCATGAATTGGTCGTAAACCATGAAACTTTCGAATTAAATCTCGTGTTTCTTTATCTTCAGCACACTAAAAACGTATCAGTAGAAAGTCCGTTTTTCATTATAATTAGATAGAGTATAGTTTTAAAATTATACCTTGAAAATTGCACTAGCACAATGTTTTTGTAATTCAGCATTTGTACTTAATAAATTTTTGACCAAATCATTAATCATTCCTTCTGTTCGAATAGCTGTACGATAACTTGACTAAATGAGAAAGTATTAAAAAGTAGTGAATAGAGAATTCAATAGATTAATACTTACGTCTGACGCACATTCTTGCAATGTACCTGCAATTGGTATTAACATGTTTTCATGTGAACTTTTTAATAATTTTGCCAGTAATGGTATAACACCGGCACGTCTCATAGCATGTTTATTTCGATTACTACGACTTAAACTCCAAAGTGCTAAAGCACCAGCACGAGCAACTTCAATATTTTTACTAGTTTCAGTTGTTGTTGATTGACCATGAATCGGAGCATTATCCAACAAAGCTACTAGTCGTTTAATTCCACCATTTTGACGTACAACTTTTCTTGCACGTTTGAATTTGGCAACATGTGCGATTGTTTCAGCTGCAAGACATTTTAAATCTTTATCCGGTTCATCCAATAATTTGACCAATGTTTGTAAACCACCTAAATCGGCAATATTTCGTCTTATATAGGGATTTTGAGAGATTTCCTTTAATATGTACAATGAACCGATCTAAATAAACAATAACTAAATATATTAATAATCTCAGAAGAAGAAATAGTAATGAGAAAACGTTAGCATACTTTGCAATCAATATCGTCTGTATCGAGTAGATTAACCAAAACTTCTAAACCTCCAACATCCCGAATGGCCAACTGACATGTTTCGGTTGATAAATTAAAATCTCTTATACTTGATAGAGCAATTACTGTAGCCGTAGGATTTCCACCCTATAGAAGAAAAACGCAGAGACTAAAATTTCGAACGAGTTTTAACATGTGTTACTCACCTTCAAATATTTCACTAAACGTTGAATTTGCCAATATTCTGTTGGTAAATCTGTTTGATCTTGTCTTGTTCTTTCTAACAATTGTTCTTCATCGTCATCATCGCCACTACTCGATTCATCAGATGAATATTCTTGATTTGTACGTCGGCTTCGTTGTGCGACAGCACGCTCAGTGCCAGGTCGTGATAAATTTGTTGTTTCTTTTCGTAAACCACGACTGAAAATTACAGATATACATTGAACAAAGAAAGGTGACTAAAAAAAATCGAAATGACATACTCTGTAGGAAGTGTTTCCCAGTCACGTGACGAAAGTAATAGTTTTTGACGTCCTTTGTCTGACGGAGAGAAATCTGAGAAAAAGAATCCCACATAAACACGAACGGCAAGACATCACAGTTTGACTCACTGTATCTTACCAGATGGCATCACAGAACACTAATCTAAACGGAAAAAGGCAAAGACATGATCATAATTTTAGCGGATAGTGTCAAGTTGTAATAAACCAGTAGTCAGACTCAAAAGACAAGGGGACCGAATTGAAACTTTTCTGTTCCGTATAGGGTGCAAGGAAATTATTCTCCATAGTCAGAAGAAGCAGCGTTTTTAATCATTAGTAAGTTAAGCGCAAGAAAGAAAGTGTTCGCTCTAAAGTAACTGCATTAGACCTCAGTTTATAGAGAGAAGCTGAAAACTTTTCTTCAAACAATAGCAGGTTGCAAATCAATGCTGTATGTCCCTTCATTCTCTAAAGTAAATCAAAGGTATGAGTTCTGAGCATATGTGAGGAATACAAGTGGAGGTTTACCGCGACATCGTTCTCTCCTTTTCTTCAGTGTTTCTAAGCAGCTGTATACGACTTAACGGAACACATTGGCTTCTTAATAGTTATAATTTATTTTATAGTTTTAGCTTATAAAAGCTTGGTACAACTGTCTGTTTTTCGTGAAGACAGATACATATTATGCGTTAATGCATTTCTCCCCTTTGATTTTAAGCCGTCGTTGCTTAGCAGCAACAGTATCAGAACACGCAGATATGGCGAAAACTCTATAAACGTTAAAAATGAAGACAGCAATAGTCCATAGCAGAACAAGGGGAGTAATATAATTCATGGGAAAATTTTAGTAAACAACACATCTTGTGCATCTATGTAGATTGTGAAACGACACTTGGACACACGCGAATATCTTGAAATGGTGTGAGAAAAATTTTCACCTATGCCCGCATTTACGATGAAATTTTTCGCTTATGACCATCCTCAGAATGATTGTGAAAATTCCTCTAAGGCATCTTCTCCAGGGGCTTCCATTGTTCCTAGAGGTTTGAGGCAAAAATCTCTTGGCATTTTGTACCTCTGAAAATATTCTCGTTTTTATATAAAGGACAAACTCAGCTTCCGCATTAAAATGCTGTGTATGTTTTCAGAACGTTGACTGGTGGTTTTGTATATTGATAGATGTCAAAAAGTAACATATTCAAGTTAATCAGCAAAAGTGTCTGATATAGGAGATGTTCCACTTCTGACATCATATGAACTTCTCCTTTTACACGTTCTTAAAATTTAAAAAAATGTATCCCCTCAAAATTTTGTCTGAGGCAAGTGCCCCAATGGTACCATAGGATGGAAGCCACTGATCTTCTCGCGTAACCAATACGAAGTGGTGGACTCTGTAACCAAGCCTCTGCAAATTTTATACGTTCACATGTTCGTAAATATTACCACGAGTAATCGCTAGTGAAATCATAAAAAGTTCACACGCGACCGTGCGTTTGATGTTGCCAGTGCATGACATTGACATCACAAGTTTCGGTAAAGTTTTCGTATGAGGAACTCTGTTGAAGGAGAAAGTCATACTCATCGAGTAATGTTTAGAATGTGTCATATAGAAAGCAAAATCCGAGTGTGAGCTTGCCGATAGAACAATGGTTGGTTATCCGGTCCTAGAATGATTTTTTTCGCATGGTCCAAATCGTGAAATAACTTAAAACAATTCGATGTCTTCAAATTTGGACCTCAATTATTTTCTTGCTTCAGTCTTCAATAAGCACAGCAATTGGAGCAAATCCCTCTATTGCGCAAAAAAAGAACATTCTGATTAAACAATTCAGTGTACACTTACACTTAGTGGCAAACTCTCAATGGAAACACTGCCCTCGAGAACGTGAACACAAGATTTGATTTCTATTTTAGATCAAATATCGACCAGTGTTTAGACCAGAAATAATATTATGAATGACCTAAACAAATTCTCTCATGGATGATCAAGTTTTGAAACAACTAGCTGTTCAAAAAGAAAAGGAATGGATAACCGTTCTTCAGGAAAGGTATGTTTAAATTAAAAATAACAACATTTCTGCTAAATACTATTGGCTTTTTTAGACTTAAGGCGCTTGAAATAACTGTTCAAAACAAAGATGTTCAACTGGCCGAATTAAATCAAAAGTATACACAAGTCAAAGAAGACTTTAAATACAATTTAAAATTAATTGATGATCGAGATAAAGAACTTTTAACATTTGACAATCGTTTAAAAGGTACGTTTGCTTCTTTATAATCTATTAATGATATATAAAGTCTTGTTTCTATTACCCATAGAATTCAAAAAACAATTAAATAATAAAGATGGCGAAATATCAGAATTAAAAATAATCAATGATCAATTACGTTCTGTTGCACAACAAATCGAATTACAGATAGAAGAAGAAAAAAAACATTTTATTCAACGTTTAAATCGAAAAGAAAAAGATGTCGACATTTATAAACGTCAATGTGATGATGCTCTAAATGATGAACGTCAACAAATTGAACAAGAAAGACGTGCTGTAAATAGAAAATTATCAGAATTAGAAGCAGAATTAGATCGTCAACGACGTGAGTTATCGAGTGATTTTGAAACACATACAAGAAAATCAGAATATGAATGGAAAAAAAAATTTGATGATTTACAGAATGAACAACTAGCAAGTGAATTAAAAGTAAAGTAGCTTGGTTTTAAACATTTTCGTTAGTTTTGAAATGACTTAGGAAAAGTAATCATGAGTCTTACGAGGGAACCCAAACCTTTCTTAACGGGGTATAATTGTAGCGCGCAAATTTCTGATTGAAATGAGACATCTCCCGACTCTACACAACCTTTCTTTACAAAGTTATAGAATTTACAAGAAAAGCTCTAAATTAATTTTTTTCTTCTTCTGTAGGTTTGAGCTAGGACTGTCACATTAACGTTACGTTAGAATTAACGTTAACGTACTTTACGTTTACGTTAAAATTAACGTTAACGTACTTTACGTTTACGTTAAAATTAACGTTAACGTACTTTACGTTTACGTT